CTCCCGACAACACGCGAGCCAAATATTATAGCGCAGCACGTGGCCTGTAATTCACAATAAATTATCAAAGTCAGCTAAAAATTGATTTCTCTTCTCTCAAAAAATCCCCCAATATGCCCGAAAATCACATGTAGTACGCCCACCTTTCAGCCATTGGCTGATTTGATCATGGTGCGCTCGCTCATTACAGAGATCGCCGCGGGAGGCCGCTACTTGTCCACACGTGCGCCCGCGATCACACTGAGAAGCCGCGCATACGAAGAACAAAGAAAGAAGCACTCAAGGTCACGAGGCACGTGACGTTTTGCTTAGCTTCCGGCGCTTTCGTCGGGACGAGAGAAGAGAGAATGCAATCGCAACATGCGACAAACCTTTGAAACTTCACTCGCACTGGACGGATTCTTAAAATTTTTGTGGCGTTGAATTCGTGAGGCAATAAGCTCTTCCAGTGAATTCTTTCCATGGTTACTTGAAAAAGTTTTCCAGGGCCTCTTTAACGTGCACCCAAATCTAAGCACACGGGCCTCAAGCATTTTCGCAGTGTAATCTTGTTCAGCACGTGCGAAAAGTGTGCGACACGCTGGAACATCGCGTTTGTATTTGTCTCGTGCGCGTGCGACGAGTGACTTTGCTGCACAGCTGTTGAACATAATGGCGGAGCTACATGCAACACTGTTAGAACTCCAAACGGATGAATGGAGGGATGAGTGTCCCCTTTATAACGGGGTAATGACATGCGTGTCAGACTCGCAAGAAAAAAATTAAAAGAAAACTTTTTTCTGTTGGCCCAATGCCTTATCTACTTCTATGGAATCGATCTTACTATGACAAAGAAACATGTAAATTCATGTTTTATTTCTCTGCCTCTTCAGGCAGAATGACCTCATTTTTCCTCTATTTCTGTCCTTTATATCTACTTTTCAACCACCCGGATTCTAAGCCCAACGTTTATAGATAAGTATCTATAAACGTTGCGTCGACCGAGCTGCGGTATGTCGTGTGATGACGTCATAATGTGTCATCACACAATGTTACGTCACAAGGACCGCCATGATGGTGTCACACATTATGTGACTTTCGAAGCCATCCGCACGTCATATGGGGCGTCATCGCGAGATGGTGATATTTTGCTCACTTGCCCCCGAAGCCGCGGACGTGGCATTCGAGGGCTTCGCCTTATATGTGCTGGGTGATGAAGTGCCGAAATAAGCAAGTGAAAACGCAGAAAAAAATCCATGCACCAACTGAAAGCTTCGTATCTGTTGGCGCTGGTGAAGCAGCGTCAGCGGCGTACCTGCACAGTGACGCTGATAAAAAAGAAAAAGCTTGGTGTAAGGTTGCGGTGCTCTTTTGTTTGGTCTGGGCATCTCTTGTTCTCACCGGGGATTATCGCACTCTTCGTGTCGGGCGGTGGTACGTGTTGCTAGGATTCGCGCATGGGAACTGCATGCAGGGTTCGGCAACTATCACGCACTTTCTTGAGAAGGAAATTGGGTGCGGTGTCGTGCCGCGTCTATTCGCGTCTATACGTGCCGCGTGTATTCACGCGAGAACCGTTCCATGCCTTGAAAGCAGGATGCCTGTGGGTACTCTGGGGAGGTGGTATATCTTTGCTAGTATATAGTATAGTGGCGTGCGCTTGAGCACCTTCTAAATTGCTTCAGCTTGCTTGGCAGGAGTTTGATGATTGATCATTCCGGACTGGACGGCTAATACTGCTCAACATATAGGCGGGTACACGGAAGAGGAAGGTGCGGGCGGGGAGGGGGCGCAAAGTCTGCCCTATAATACTTCAGGGGGGCTGCGATTAATCCCCCTCCCCCATTCTTGTAGTGGAACCGTGCGGACGCATGTGTTGCTGAACATGACTCATTGTGTTCGGAAATTTTGATCACGTCGTTAATACTCGTCTGGAAATATCATCTTCGGAAGCAGCTGTTATATTATAACTAAACTAATATGTGTGATAACAGAATAAAAGCATTTTATCTCTAATCGGGCATATGTTGTCTTTGATCACATTTTCTGCTAAAATGTTTGCGAGAGCTTGCGTCCCAGCATTTCTTTCAAACCTTCTTGGTCTTGAGTCCCTCGATCTATACAACTGTCATCTTTTTCTTTCCGTCTGTCACTCACAAATTAACGTGTGTGCACACACTAACAAGCACGCATGCACACACCTTAAAGCCCGCACTTATCAACGACGTGGGCGGGCCCGTGACCGTGAGGTCGACGTATTCCCCGCCTTTCTATTGTACATCCGACCACCATGGCCCGATCTACCGTCCGTACAGGCGGCAAGAGGAACGCTTCGAGCGAAGTCCGTCGCCATCTCTTTCTTCGCACGGCCCAGATCGGTATCACAAACAATCGGAGCTCAACGGAAGCCCGCCTTCAGAGGGCGTGGAAGGAACAGGGTGACATGAAACACGTCTAGAAGTGTGAGAAAGCAAGCACACTCGGCGAGTGTTTATTTCACCCTCTCCACGCACCATCTGGCGATGGAATGTTGGAGTGTAGAAGCAGTACAGAACGCGTCTACAATAGCCGCACGGAGAGGAAGGGGAGTCTACTACGTGCACGAGACTCGGGTATCAACAGAGACGGCCAGACATCCTGCCTCGCCATCCGATGCGAGAGCGCCCCAATAGCCGGAGTAGAGATGCTGCAGGCCTTTCTTTCTCCGCTCACAGTGCACGATATCGGCGGGTTGGGGCGAGCAGCCTCCGCGGGTGGAATCAGTTTGCGCTCTCCGCTCAGATCGAGGTAAGTTCACATATACCACTATATTTGTTTCAAAATTAACGGGGATTGTTACGCGAGTGCAACCCATTTACGTGAGTGCAACTCAATCTAAACATTATGCCATTTGTTAAACACATATTGCTTTTGGACCGTGTTGGCCTGGACCAATAATTTGGTCATCTGCATGATTTCTTGTGCTCATCTGACTTGCATTTAGTAACTCATTTATGATTATTTCCTTGTTCACTAGCTGTTAGTTTAAAGGCTAAACATATAGAGGCATTTTGGGGGGATTTTGGATTTACAGGGTGCAGACATAGAAATGCGCAGAGTTGACCTCCAACGAAGGAGTCGGGTGAAGGTTCGTCACAGCCCCCTTTTCCGTGTCAATGTAAGGGGCAACCTTGCGCCCCCCTGCCCTCCCTCCCCACGAGTCGCAGCGCTAATATATCGATGTGTGGCGCTGCATTGCGCAACCCCCCCCCCCCCCCCTTTACTTTTGAAGTGACTAGGGGAACATCGGGCCCGTGGCCCACTCCAAGGGGAGGGGCCATGTGTGCCCCCTCCCCGAAATCTTTTTTGCTCGTGGAACATAGAGCCCGAAATGCCATTCGATTACATTTGCCTGCTCGGCCCCCGCTTCCAATCAAAATGGTGCCCCCCCCCCTCCCCTAAAACAACTTTCGTCAGGTTATGAAGCTGCATGAATCTTGGTTTGTGAAATTTAGAAATTGTGAACAGTCTTCGGCTACTACCAAAAATGTACTAGCTAAAGAAAAAGTAAATAAAAAAATTGCAGATCCCACGTGCAGTGGGAATCGATGATATGCAAAGCACGAATGGAGAAACATTGATAAGTCGCTTTAAAATCAGCACAACGTTACGAGGTGGAGGTAAATAATGTCATACATGACTTCCGTGTCATGATTAGCTTGTTTTGATGTGTCGTCGTTACCTTCGTCATCTGTTCACGCCACGTGATACCAAATTTAGTATCTCTGTAACTAGCTAAACGGCCGCGGACACGCTATGAGCGTGGTATGTTGTCGTGTTCTTACGTGACACGCGTGTCAGGGTTGTCATGTTTGCACCAGTCATATATTTCAGCATCCATTGACGTCACGTAACACCAAATTTGGTATGTGTGGAGCTAGCAAAACAGCCGTCGTGGGAACTGCGGTGGTGCCACCACTTAAGTAGGGTTATCTTCAAATAAGTTTTTACGTTTTTGGGGCTTATATGCAGCAAAATAACGTAAAAAAGTTTTAAAAATGCGTAAACGTGATTATAATAAACCCTACGTAAGTGACGTCGCCATAGATGACAGGCGTTTTGCGCTCATTTGGTAGGCAACCCCTTAAATACTAATACAAGACATAGCCTCAAGTACAAGTACAGTACAAGACATAACCTCAAAGACAAGACACGCCAAAGTTGCTAGTCTCAAAGGCTAAGTACAAAGACTCTTAACCCTACGTAAGTGACGCCGCCATAGATGATGGGCGTTTCGCGCTCATCCGGAAAACAAAACAAAAAAAATATAAGAGGCTATGTTTACTGCACTGTCGTAGTCTGAACAACATCAAGGAAGAAAAAGTGAGCCAACGGAGCATCCACGTTCAGTCAGACAAACTGAACCTGACGTGAAAGACGCTAGCAGCGCTGAGTGCCTGACGGCGTATAATTTTTGTTTGTGTATTTTGCTGAGTTCTTGTTCCGAGACGTGTATTACATTGTCTCGTGTTGGACATCATCATTGCTTAGCGGTGTCATTGAGAAAGAACTTTACCGTGTGGAATATTGTGGCGACGTCATGAAGGAAGGAAAGCTTGTTCCTCCGTGTGGCGACGTGGTCACCAGTGTCAACGCCTCCTAGATTTCCTGTGCCTGTCGGATTATCGGCGGTCACTTGGGAAGCGGCGGTGGTCGGAACTACGGTGGTGGCGCCACTCAAGTTGGAGTGTCCTTAAATAAGTTTTTACGTTTTTGAAGCTTATATGCAACAAAAATAACGTAAAAAAGTTTTTGAAAAGCGTAAACGTAATTACTGTTAACTTTACGTAAGTGACGCCGTCATTCAACAAACAAATTTTTTAATACAAGACATTCTTTGAAATAAGTAGCGAACGCCAAAATTGCCGATCCTAAAGGCTGAGTACAAAACTCTTTATCCCTACGTAGGCAGCGCCGCCAAAGACGACCGGCGTTTCGCGCTCATCCTGTAGGCACGGGAAATCTAGGAGACGTTGCCAGTGTTCTGTTCTGGCGCGCAACCTCACGTGTGCGTCTCTGATTCTCTGGCGTCGTCGTTTGGGCAACGCTGGAACGGACAAATCGACTCGGTCGGTGGCCTCGCAAAGGCAAGGCGGCGTGTTTACAAAGGTCTGTTTGCACGATGGTTACGGCTACAACAAACTTTCTACGCCTTTGTTGTGTGTGTTAATCGGAACTTGACATGCGTAAGATTCAAATGTGATTCTGCGTTCCGTTGTAAAGTTTCGCTTTTGTTGTCAGGGCTAGCGCCGCGCCGGTAAAAAAAAAAAAAAAAAAAGATATCGCTTTGGTAGGTTTCAAACAATAATGTTCGTTAATTGTGGCGTCGTTCGAGGCAGCAGCTGTAAATGACAGATATCTAATTGTCTGTCACTTGACGGTGAGAATTCGCGCGTTGGAGACTTGGTTGTAGCGGTCGACAAACGAGCAGTGAGAGACTACTTGAGGAGAGAGAGAGAACACAACTTTATTGTCGTCAGACTTAAGGAGGTAGGTGACCCGCCAGGCTGAACCTGATGGCCACCTCCTCTGCCCTTTGTACGGCCTGGAGCTGAACGGCCAGGCTGGTGGAGGTCAGAACTGCCTCCCACCCCTCTGGCGAGGGAGCGGCTAGGAGATCGAGAGAGGGGGGATCTTCCCTGCAGGCCCAGAGAATGTGATTAAGTGTGGCTATTGAGCCACAATGCGAGCAATGCGGATCAATCGAGTCGGGGTATATGCGTGCATAAATGTATGGGCACGGAAATGAATGTGTTTGCAAGCGGCGCCAGATAACCTCCTGGCGCTTAGTTAGCTTATGGTGCGGGGGTGGTTTTGTCTGCCTCGAAAGACGGTAATATTGTGTGATGTCATGGTAGGATGTCAAGGCTTCACCAGGGTTTTCCAAATCAGAGGCGGGTACCACCGCTCGGCTGACGAATCCTCGAGCATATAGGTGGGCCGCCTCGTTCCCTGGGTTCCCCGCGTGAGCCGGCACCCATACCAGCGCAATGGAGGATAGTGCGTCTTCCTCAGCATCTGTAAGGAGACTGGGCAATAGTAAACGCAGAGTTGTGGGGGCCACAATGCCACGTGCGAAGTTGGATATAGCAGCCTTTGAGTCACTGAGTATAGTGGTGAATCCGGATGCTGCTGCTAGCGCTATCGCCGCTTCCTCAGCTTCTGTCGTATTAAGCACACGGACAGAAGCAGCCGCTTTAATTTGAGGTGAATTGGCGTTGTTGCCGGGGAGAGTGATTACGCTTATTGCATATGCTTTAGTAAACTCTCGGTATTGGGCGGCGTCAACGTACGCAACGGTTGGGTTGGACGCGTACGTTTTTTGCAAGAATTTGGCCCTCGCTTTCCTTCTACCGTCGTGATGGCTGGCCAACATGTTCTTTGGCAGTGGTTTTATGAGGAATTTCTTTCTGATGTTGGGGGGGATGACAGCCGGATCGTTACCCGTAGGAGATACCACATGGTCAATGTTAGCAAGGATCCAACGCCCCGTCCTGCTTCCCTGTAATCGGTGAATTTGCGCCGTAAGATGCGCTTCAAGAAGTTCTTCTAAGGTGTTATGCAGCCCAAGACTGAGGAGGTGCTCTGTCGATGTGTTTCGGGGGAGACCCAATGCCACCTTATACGCTTTGCGTAAGAGCCGATTTAGTTGGGCTCGCTCAGATTGAAGGAGGTGCAAATAAGGGAGGGCGTACGTGAAGCGCGACAAAACGAAGGCTTGAATTATCTGTAGCAGTTCTTTCTCCTTCATGCCTCGATTGCGAGCGCTCACTCGAGATATAAGATGGGCCGTCTGGTTCACGGTTACGGTGAGACGGTCTAGCGTAATGTTGTTGTGGTGGTTTGTTTGCACAATGAGTCCGAGTACTCTCATGTGGGCCACCTGCTTAATTGGCGTGTCATTGACATACACGTTAATACTAGGAAGTGGAGTCTTAATTTTGCGGCGATCTGGAGGTCGCAGTAATAGTAGCTCCGATTTGCTCTGGGAACACTCCAAACCCGCTTCTGACACGTGCTGAACGACTACGTCGGTTGCTCTTTGAAGAGTCTCCTCGATTTGACCATCGGATCCCACCGTCGTCCAGAGCGTGATGTCATCTGCGTAGAGGGTGTATCGCAGGCCGGGTATCGTGTCAAGTTTGGGAGGTAGTGACCTCATAGCGAGGTTGAAAAGGAAAGGGGACAAAACAGCTCCCTGCGGGGTGCCGCGATCACCGAGTGTGATGAGCTTAGAACGAAGGTCACCCACTGAGAGTTCAACCGTTCGATTAGATAAGAAAGCACGGACGTAGTTAAATATGCGTTCCCCGGATCGTAGTTCGGACAGACTGCCTAAAATGGCACTATGCTTCACGTTGTCAAATGCTTTGTGAAGGTCCAGACCGAGCAAAGCCTTGGTACTAGTGCCACTCTCAGGTCGTAGGAGATCGTGATGCAACTGGATGAGCGCATCCTGAGTGGATAGATGGGCCCTGAAGCCCAGCATTGTGGGGGGAAGTAGGCGGTGCTCTTCCGCGAAATTTTGCAAGCGACAGAGGACAACATGCTCCATTAGTTTGCCCAGGCAGGAGGTCAACGAGATTGGACGAAGATTCTCCAGGTCGAGTTTCTTGCCCGGTTTCTTGAGGAAAAACGTTTCGGCTATGAAGACTTCTTGACGACAGAACGTATCAGACAGGAACGTAGCCAGAAATTTCTTTCGAGGGGGGGGGGGGGGAGTGGGTTAAACCATACTTAAATTTTGTATGTTCGTGTGTGCGTGTACATCTACGCAACCAAATCGAAAATTTTCGAGTGGGGGTAGGGGAGGGGGGCTTCTAACCTTCCAACGCCGTGCTTCCCTTGGCTACGCCCTTGGTATCAAACGTACCCTTGTCATTGGCGCCAGGAACGGCGTTTCATTTATTTTCTTTTTTCAACATTCGATTGTTTAAGGAACTTGTACCGACTTCAGGGAACCAAATTTTTGCATGTTGGTATTCCATTACAGTGTCTGTAGCACAGAACACAAAAGGACGGCATAATCTAAGGTGCTGTCTTTGACGTATTTCACACAGTTGATGTTGCACTTAGCACATTTCTGACCCACTGCACTAAAAATTGAGCTTGTCTTTAGTGTTCCACGCAATTGAATAAACACTAGTTCTGAAATTGTGCTTTATAATTTTGGGTTATTGAATCATTTATCACCAAATTTCTTTAGCTTTGTGTACTGTACTTGTGTTATAATTTATAATTACATAATTTATTCCCTATATGTCTTTGTATTTCTAGTTGAAAGCGTCAGAGGGAACAACTGAAAGATGGCCTCTGCACCAAGGAATCACCTTTCTTTCACCTGTGTTTGGACTCAGAAGCCCGGTGATGATGTTCACGAATTTGTGGCAGCATACAAACGGTTCTTTGAGTGGCGGCATGGGCAAACCGTCAAGCTTCAAACGCCACGGAAGCTCCTCAGACATGAGTGGGAAGACCAGAAGTGGCTCGTTCAAATTAGCCTTGATTTACATTCACGAATGAAAGTAGATAAGATTGAGAGCATGAGTACAGAAATAGCTCGCCAGTGGTGCACAACTGGACTCGGTGACAAGCAGATGTCAAGGTACTTGCAGTGGCTGCAACCAGACCGCAAAAATGGTTTTTGGCATGGCTGGTATGCTATTGAAGAAGGCATCAAGATGAATTCCATAGCATTTGGCACATTCGTTGGCCTGGACATATTTGCCGAGCGTCATGCCATAGTAGGTAACTCTACTGGCAACGGCTACAATATAGACTGCACATTCAGACATGATGAGAGGTCTTTGCAGGTGTTTATTGAATTGAACCATTGCTGGACAACAGATGTCTATCGGCTTAGCATGCCTTACAGTAACATTTTTAACGTGATTGTGCACGACCCCGACAGTGGTTCTGCAGATGTATTTCTTCAGGTGTACACGCTTCCCTTGTTTCACCGTGCAGCAGGCACTGGGGGTTCTTTTGTCTCTCATTATGCAGCCAAAAAATCTAGCTCTCGTGATGAACTGAATTTCCAGAGAATGTTAAAGATTGGATGTATCTGTTGCGGCCGACTTCTGGAAAGCAGTGACGTAGGCGGCTGTTTTGTCATCAGGCTGAGCTTCAAAGACAGGCATGAGGCACGGCGCACTGTCGGTCGGCTAAGCCGTAGATGCAAAAGAGCCCGCTTCAGCTTTGTGCCAGTTAAAACTCATGTTGTTGGCAGCAGAGCTGAGGAACTACGGCAGCAGTTGTGCTCAAGGATAATTCCTAAGCTTCAGTTCGGATGCTGCTACGCACTCAATTCTCTCATCCAAATGAGTGATGACATTGTTGTACAGCTGATGTTGTTGGAGAAGCATGAACTAGACACTCTCTTCAAAGACTTGGAAAGATATGCAGCTCACAATGAAGGTGCCCTGGAAGAAGCTTTGTTCAGCATTTGCACTGCTCTTGGGTATAAGAGTAACGTCACTTTTGCTGCAGTCTTGCCTGAGCTATTCAAAAAGTTTTGCAAAACGTATGTGCCCACTGCTGTGCCACAAGGCTCCTGCCTCGTACGGCGGCTGTTCGTGACACCGTCTCATGTCTTTTTTCTGCCACCTGCCGTGCATGCGGAGAACAGAGTGCTTCGCAAGTTCGACGCAGATTATGCGCTTAGAGTCTCATTCCGCGACGATCATTTCGAATTTCTGTCTCACTCTCTGGGATCTCATGGTGATAAGCGTGAGATGCTCGACGAAGTTGTTGGACGTTTCCTTCGTAGTGGAATCAAGATTGGTGACCGTCACTTCAGGCTTCTGGCCAGCTCTGTAAGCCAGCTTCGAGACCATGGAGTCTGGCTCTATGCAAATGTAAGAAAAGAAAAAAAATGCCCTACACTTAATTTTTCAGACGTGTATGAAAAGGATGTAGAAATTCTTGTTTCTAATGTCGTTGATATGGGGGTTTGGAGATCAGAGTAGCGAAAATTGCCAGCAAGGAAGTATAAGATAAATGTAACTTTCGTAATGAACTTGAGCTTGTTGGTAGTCCGCACGTGCAGCTGCATTACAAGAAACAGTGTAAGCAATTTATTCTAAATGAGATAAGGCATGCAAACATAAACACAAGGAGGGAGGCGCTTGTGGTGTCCTGACTTCCTTCTTGCGTCCGTGTTTTCATGCCCTGTCACTTTTAGAAGGAATACGTACAAACTAGTTCAGCGTCGTGTTATTCTAACGGCAAACTAACGTGACAAGAAAGACAAACTGCTCACATACTGTCCAGTCTTTCTCATTCCATTGCTTCATGCTGTTTCTTTAAGTTAAATTAACTGCCTCCTGTTAGTGTTCATCTCGTGCACAGGAACATGGCTGATCTCAAAACCTAGTATGTTATGAGGCATTCAAGCACGTACTATTATAATTAATCAATAGCTGTTCCAATATATGTACTAGTGATGTAAAAGTGCACTTGAGCTGTGGTGTAAAGATAACTTCAATCTTCTGGGGCTGCTGTGACAGAAACAACAAACACGTGCATTGATACCTAACACGTTCTGTGTGATTAGTAAAATGAGGTTATGTAGTACTGCTTGTTTTACAAAATGCAACCCATTATAAGGCCGCCCTGCAACACTTTTGCAAGAGATCATCAAATGTCTGCATTAAAAGAGTTTATTAGCTAACTAATTGACTAGGTAATAACCTTTAGGTTCTGGCAACTATGAGTACTCTGATCGTACACTCAAGTAAGATGCCAAAAGCTACAGGGGGGGGGGGCTATGATAAGGGGGCAAGGGAAGAAGCTACATGCATTAATTAATGCTCATCATGACCTGGAACACTTTCTGTTCTGTTTTGCTTTTTCTTCTGAATTGCGGCTTCCTTTCAGTGCGATTATGAATGTTCATGCGGGCACGTTGCACTATCTTTAGGCAGCAGTGGTAACCATGCAGCAAATTCTTAAATCAGCCAATGGCCGTGGACTTTAGCTGGTTGGCTCAGGTATATGGTCGGGTAATTTGGATTTATGGGATCATATTCAAAAAAAAAAAAAAAAAGAGTGATTTCTAGCTGACCTCGAGAAGTCATGGTAAATTGCAGACTGCAGGCTCACATGTCATTAGCCTCAACTGCAGATTGGCAGCATTTCGTAACCATGTTGAAAAATAGTTTGAGGGTCCCCTGAATGCTACAAATCAAAAGAAGACAAGATAGAAGCATACTTTCCGATTGAAATCACTCGTCAGTCAGTAGTGCACATGTTTGTTGTTTCTCTCTGTGCCCCCAGTTTTGTGACTGACCCAGTTTCACACCATTACTGTTAACCAGGTGTGTTGAATCCGGTGCAGGAAAGCATTGGTAGGAAGCGTTATGTTGAACACAAAGTGAGCAAAAAAGGGAGTGGAACTCATGGCTGCACGTGAGCCCACAATAAAAAAAGAAGTGTCTTACCAGGGCAACACCGGTGTCGATCTCTTCTCTGTTTCTACATTGATGGTGCCGATGTCTTCTTCGTACTGACCTGTTTCTCTATCTTGCGAGTTATTTTATCGATTAACTGCTGAATCAGTAAAAAGTCCTGCTGCCATGTTCGTTCTTGCCTCTCTTGGCATGTACTGTTCTACTTAGTATGTGCTACGTCACGGGAGTACGTGGCCAAGTGCACTTTGAGATTGCACAGTTGCACTGATCCGGACACGTTTTTGACTTATCAAGGGAGGGTTTGGCTGCTCCTGCTTTAACACGTCGTCCCTTCTTGCTTTCACACTAACCTGCACTTTAGATTGTCGCGATATCAGCTTCAAGAACTGTAGCTGCAGCCACGGCTTGATGTCCAAACTCGGAAATTTTCTTCAATGAAGCAAGATAAATAGCAAAAGGTTCGTTCAAATAAAGGAGGGCAAGGGTGAAAGTAAGCAATTGGGAGTTATGCATGCTCGCAGGAACCGCAAAACACATGCCTAATCGCTGAAAATAGGTCACTGTGATGGAGTGCGCGGATTTTCAAGTGGGTGGAGTGTGCGGAACTTGAAACAGGGCGAGCAGAATTTGAAGTGCGCGCCATGAACCAAGTCGGCAAGGAAGAAGCAGCTAGCACGAATGTTAATGAATAACGAGAAATGACTGAAGCACCAATTCGACGCAGGCGCAGCTTTGTTCGAAGCATGCGCGAGACGGAAAAAGAAGAGTTGCATCGGGGCGGGCGGGTTTCGGACCCGAGCCAAGGCTGCTACCTCCATCGTCCGGTCACCTAAGAGGCTCCAAGACTACCTGGCTGCGCCAACGTTACCGTGCTTGTGGACAGTTCTGTGCTGTTGAACTTCAGGCTCGAGCTCAGGCGAGGTTGTCCTGCCGTGGTCGCCAATGTAATGTTGTGTTTCTTGTTTCGCACAACGTGCAGGTTCGACTTGGGAGGACCGAAGAGCCACCTCGGGACACTTTCCAAAGGATGAGTTGTTTGTATTAAACATTTAATGGTAATAGCTTGAGAGCACTTAACCCCAAATATAACGAGTCCTGTCTCTCGGATACAGTTGCATAGAAATACAACAGCTGTATATTAGTCCCTAAACACAAGTCCTAAGCACTCGGTTCCTACACAGAGTGTGTTGCGAAACGTCAAAAGAGTGGCGTCTTTGGGCCCAGGCTCCTACGCAACATCGTTGTGTAGGAGTCTGGGCACAAAGCGTGGGGTCGATGCTGTTATTGTCGTAGTTGGCATAGTTGGCATTATTGTCGTTATTGTCGTAGTTCGACAGCCCAAACCTGTCCTCGGGCACGGGAACGTCAGCGGAGCCAGGTAGCCCTGGAGCCCCTCCGGTTACCGGACGATGGAGGTAGCAGCCTTGGCTCGGGTCCGTAACCCGACCGCTCTGCTGCGTGGCTGGTCTTCCTCGGGCCACGGCTGCGACTCTTCTTTTTCCCTGTCTTGCACGTGCTTCGAACAAAGCTGCGTCTGCATCGAATTGGAGCTTCAGTCATTTCTTGTTATTCATTAACATCCGTGCCAGCTTCTTCTCTTTTGCCGACTTCAAACTTGGTTCATGGCGAGCATTTCAAATTCCGCTCGCCCCATTTCAAGTTCCGCGCACTCTACTCACTTTAAATTCCACGCACTCTATCACTTTCATGTTCGATGCCACTGTACAACATTGCAGTGCGGCGTGCTCGGCCACATACTCGCAGGGGGTTGCTCATACTATTTGACAAATGGTTCAATCACTTCCATTTGTATTCTAAACTTGCACTGCATATTGCAGGATTGTCATGGGAATTCAGTGGAGTCCATACGGGCTTGGATGGGGGACTTCAGTAAGATCCCCAGTGTTGCCAAGAAGATAGCACGAATGGGTCAGTGTTTTTCAACAACAGAAGAGTCTGTCATTGTGCCTCTTCATGGCGAGACTATGGAGGATGCGCCAGACATAGAGGGCGGTGTGCACCCCTTATCTAGGAAGCCCTACGTTTTCTCAGACGGCATTGGCATGATCTCCGAGTCCCTTATGGAAAAGGTGAGCCCTTTTGAGTGTAAATTGAGAAATTGTGACTGATCAAATAAAAAATCATTATTTGACATTTTTTTTATCTTATTCAGGTACTCTGCGGTAAAAGTTTCATAGCCTGTCCATACAGAATACTTTTTCTTGTAGTACATGTTTTTCTTTTATAAAAGGTTCACTGTCAGGCACCTGTCGATCTTTCACATAAACTATACATCGAGGCGGAAATATTTTGTCTTTAACAAAGTGACTAATTTACATAAACATGTGAATCAACCTATGAATTATTTACTTGAAAGCAGTTTGTATGGGAATGTTGTAGTGTCTGACTATTTATGGCATACCCATTTTTTGTTGTCTCAAAAGTTTTACGTAGTTTGCGATATTCTTTTGTCAAATTTCAATGGCAATCACTCATATTAATAATTCTAACCCTCACATAGCGCCCATGGCTAGAAGCACCTTGCCCACATGTGGAAAGACAAACTAAAATAAAAACATTATGTTATTTTCACACTTTAATTACAGAAAAACTGGGAGCAGTAGTTATGAGGGTGTATCGTAGCAGTTCCTGCAAAGTGCCTTTGCTCCCCCCTCCCACTACTTGAAGGGGAACCCTGGTCACGCCTATGGTTAACATAATTTCGTGGAGTTGTGACACAGGTGCATGCAGGTGGCTAGTTGTTATTTGCATTAAAAGCAAGTTAATATCGATGTTGTGAGGTGGGGTGTTTCGTACTAATCAGTTCAACATGCATTTTAAAATTCGTTTTAAGTATGTTCTAAGCTATATCAGTCATTAATTTTATGTAGATGATGCACATGTTCCCACTCAAATATGTCCCGCAAATTATCTCTGTTTCAAAATGTTGTGTCAGCACTCCTTCAAACAGCTTTGCTGTTAAAAGACCTGCTTCACTGGCACATGGGCAGTGGTGCGTTAGAAGCACGTGCATGTAATGGCTAGGTGAAAGGTGCTCTAACAGCGAACTAGTAGTGAAAGTTGGTCTAGTTGGTGGTTCAAGCTTGGGATGTAAAAACAGCTCCAAAAAAGAGACAAGGACTGAAAAAGAGACGACAGGATGCTGATGGAGGATCAACCTTATTGAGAACTTAGAACAAGTTCCAGAACTGAGAGAAGACGTGATGTACCTGGAGCAACTGACTTGTAACCACCACTAAGTGTCACACATTTGTGTCTTGTCACTATGCAAGATTATTCAAATGGAAGTTGTACTTTCAAGGCTGATTCTTGCACTATACATTATAGATTTGCATGTTGTCTGGATTCAACATCAATGTGGCACTGAGAAAAAAAAAGCAAGATCTACAGAAACACATATTATGGTGTGAGTAGCATAGAAAATTTAACACATGTCTTGTTTTCTAGGTCTGTGCAAAGCTGGACATGGCACAGGTTCCATCTGCCATTCAGATTCGCTATGCTGGCTACAAAGGCATGCTGTGCACAAACAACGCTCTGGAGGGCGACAAGCTCATTCTGCGCAAAAGCATGAACAAGTTTGCCTGTGTCACATCAGCCAGCATTGAGGTTATCAAGGTGTCTGCTCCCTGTGAGTACGCAGCTACACCTTTTATAAAGAATTTACAGAGCAAGTTGCTACGGTACAATGCTTAAAGGGACACTAAAGACAACTTTCAAGTCCACGTTGATTGTTGAAATAGCGGTCCAGAAGCCTCGAAGTGTTACTTTTGTTCCAAGGAAGTGCTTATTCTGAAATAAAATCGCTATTTAGTGGTTTGCAGCGGCTTAGTGCACTTCAAATTACCTGTCTCATTCGGAACGTGTCACATCACTGTTGCCACTTACGTTGCCTGGCTTTACTGCACGGTCGCCGACACTAGTAGCAGCAGAATGAAAGTAGCAAGAGCCACAGCTGCAACAACAGGCATTGAACAATTTCTTGCCATGGCCTGCATGATGGCAGATGTGATTGGTTCAACTGAGCCCCGCTAGATGGCACGACCTGTCCAGTTTAACCAGGTGAAAATTGAACTTTTGAACCACTCGCGCCATTCCCCATTGTAACGTCCGGCCGTTCTTTTTTTTTTTCATGAATCAGACATGAACAAGCAGCATTTTATTACTTCTCTTGATGGATGGAGGGTTCGTTATTTAGTGCAGCTAGTGTGATTACTAGTGATTAAATGTAGGCGGTACCGCTGACGTAATTGGGATAATTTTGTGAATGTCCTATCGTAGTGCATGTGTTCTCGTTAACTTACCTTAATTTCTGAGTAAGTAAGGCACTGAAAATATTGTCGTTTTAGATGTTGTCATACATGAAGCCTTCACTCTGACATAAATTGTTGTTTGCCTTTAGTGTATCTTCAAGTGCTTTTTCTTTTATTTTGTACCAGCAAGCATGCTTAAAGGGCCAGTAAACAACCCAGAGGTCCAAAAATTGTTTAAAAGAACTATGTACACTTTTGCTTTGTGGACATGCTGTCCCCAAAATTTTTGTGAATAGGTGCTATGGGAAGTTACGGGGATTAGAAAATTGGTTTCGCGAGGCCTCGCCACCCTGCTTCCTCACAGGGATAGGAAGGCGTAGCCTCTCATTGTGACTGTTTTAGACCAACCGACGAGCTGGGTGCTACGTCAAGTTGCCGATCGTCGACATCCCGTCACTGTGCGTGAAAAGAGGATTGGTAAAGTGTAGGAAAGAAGTGCGAGATTCTTTTTCGAAATGGGGGCTCTTTAGGAAGACGTGATCACTGCGGTCTACTCTATGAATTGCCGAACTTCTTTGGAGTGTTCTAAAAGAAAGTCTGCGCCTGTTGATTGGCCTTTTAAAGCTACACAGACGGGGATGCAATATGAGGAAGAAGCTGGTACCGTTCATCATCGTGTGGCCTACTTTCACTGCAATTGTGAGAGCGCGTGGGCATGTAGCAGATTCTCATGGTGGCTGCGTTAACTATGCAGCCCACAATGCCCAAATCGGCCAGTGGCCATAAAATTATGGTTTATGGCACCGTCATTTGGGTTTGTGGCATCATTTGTCGAGAGAAGAGGGAGCGATTTTCAGCTGACTTTAGAAACTGTAAATTCCAAACTTGGCTGCGCTGTCATGTTTGGCTCACGTGCTCTCAAGGCCTCTGCTACGGATCAGTAGCATTTTCTGACCATGTTCAAAAGGTGCTGCAGAGTCCCTATAAATGGGTGGCATCAGGTGAAAAATCAAAAACAGTTGTTCAAATACTGCTTTCTCCAAAGAAGTATTTATCGTTTCTGGATAATTTTTTATTTGGACAGATCAGATATTTGTGGTGACTTGGTTGCACCAGGAAGAATATGGTATGGGTGTGTTGGTTCGTCATTGTTTAAGCAGACTACATAGGGCAGACTACGCTGAAAAAGGAGGTGACAAGATGAGGGCTAACTTTCCACAAAACTTTGTTGCAGATAGTGCGCATATATGAGCATATTATCCGAGAAGTGCAAAAAACAAGAAGTACGGGCCGCAGAAATAATAATGTGGCAAACGAGAACTATGCCAAAAATTCAAGTTGCTCTTTTGGTAATGCTTTTCATGGCATACTTTCTCACTCATCACCTGCCTGAGCTACTTCAAATGCTTCGGCCATGTTCTGGCACATTTTATGCCTGGCACTTCGCTTTTCTGCAGTCTGTATTTTTTCTTTTTAACAGCAGAGCTTTGTAAGCCATCCATAAAGGCTGTGGTGTCGGCAGAAGACCACTCGCAGGTATTCGTTACAGGAATCCGCAAGCCCAACCGCGAGTGCAGCAGGTGTAAGCCCGAAAACTGCTCAGCGAATTGGACCACCAATTCAGACAAGTGAAAGATAAGGAAAGAAATGGAGGGGGGTGGGGGTGTGGGAGATGGAAACAGAGAGAAATAAGAAAATGTAAGGAAACAAAGAAAAGTCAAAAAGATAGAAACGAGACAGAGAAAGACATTGAAATAGTAAGAGATAGACACATAGATGAAAAAGAGATAAATGGAGAGGAAGACAGAAAGAGAAATAAATAAGAAAACAACAGACAGACAGACAGAAAGGGGACAAAGAGGAATAAAGGCAGGAAGAAAAAGAAACAGAGGAAAAAAGAAACAGTAGGAATAGAAAGAAGTACACACAAAAACAGAAGAAAAAGAAAGACAAGAAAGAGAAAGAAAAAAGGAAGGCCGCGCAGCTCTGCTCTTGCTTCAATCTTAGCAGCACTAGTGCAAAGGTGCCGTAATTTATTATTATTGTTATTATAATTTTGCAGTTGCAGATATTGCACTTACGTATGTGCTCAATCTGAAATAAGGTTTTGTTAAAAGTTAGCACTTGTCCCTTTGTCTTCCTGTCCTGTGATTCGTTCTTCACGGTGTATTCTGCATACTTAAAGGAAGACAGGGTTTGTGGCAGGAAGTTATGACCCGAGACGTTACTCTTTGCAGCGACGGTGTTTCTGAACCGCCCTTTGATCACCATTCTGGAGCAGCTCGGTGTTCCCCGGCGGGTGTTCTTGCACTTGCACCAGAAGATGCTGGTTCAGCTCTGCGATGCCCTCATCAATGATGGCACTGCCCTGAGGGTGCTTGGCACCTACGCAAACACCAGCCTGCCTTTTGCCAAGCTGCTCGTCAACGGGATGTCCCTGAGTCGGGAACCACTCACTCGTGCCATAATACTGGCCATCTGCGAGAGCTTGCTCGGCAAGTTCCTTCATTCAACGCTCCTTAATCGAAACACAACTATTGAGTGCCAATTCGTGTTCGTTTGTTTCCACTGTCTTTAATTTGTGTAATAACTATGGGTGAAATTGCGACTCCAACATACAAGGAGGCGCATCACGGGCGAGAAAGTGCGTCAAAAGAAAAATGCTGTTGGCGGCAATGTTCTTTATTGGTAATAACGAAATAAATTGTCACGTGCCATTGTGGCCCAGTGGTCATGGTGCTTGAATGCTTATCTGCAAGTGGCGGGATCGAATCCCGGTCACTGCGGCCGCCACAAATTGTTGGGTGGCCATGTCATGGCCCCCTTTAGGACGAAAATATTTGCCTGAAGCCAGTGTCTAGGAATATGTATTCTATCTAAAAGGCGTGCTGAGAGCTGAACAAGGTTGCAGAATAAAAGCACAAAACTGATCCGGTCAGAAGCAGCAGTTTTGTTTAAGATATCGCCGTTTCCTGAGCCTACTGTGTTGTGAATTGAATCGTGTTCCGAGGGACCCATGATCTTATGTAGCAAATTACGAGAAATTTCATTGAGGCAATGTGGAGAAATGCCAACTAAACACTGAAGTCTGTTCAAGTGTTGAGGGTCCGAAAGGTTTGGCACGAAATCCAAAAACCTCTTGTTTAAAATGTTTTCCTTTATAACAGTAGACCTATAATGGTGATATTATTGACAGTTGAGTTCTCGAAAATAATTTATCTGCCTAAACTGACTTCTGTGTGGCTTCCGTCTCCCTTTAATAGAGAAAGACTTGCAAGTTTGTCTTTTGTTGAGAGTCTGTAGTGTTGTACTTAAAAGCGTTCTTCTTAAAAGGGATCTACAGTCAAACCTGATTATAAAAAAAACTTGCATGTTACACGTAAATAAGTTCAATATATCCAAAAGTTTCTTACGAAGGTATATTACTAACATTGTATTTATTGCAAAACTATTCTTCGTTTACTTTGTTATAATCGATATTTTATTATATCCGGGATTATTATATTGATATTTTATTGTATTTTTATTCATTCCTTACCTTTCCTCGCCTCTTAGCAAAGACAAAAATTAATTTTGGGCTTGTGTGCTTGCCTTTTCAGTGGGGCTCAAGGAAAAAAGTCGAATTGCCATTCCTCCAGAGAAGGGCCGTAACATGTTGGGCGTCCTTGATGAGACTAGCACCCTTGAGTATGGTCAAGTGTTTGTTCAGTACACACATTTGGGCATCGAGTTCCAGAATGGAACACCAGACTCTGGTAACAACCACGCAGGTAGCACCCAAGTGCTGACAGGTATGTTGACTACAGGCTACGTATGTCTCAGAGTACACTGCCAAACTAAGGCTAAGTTGACCTAGTTGGTTAGTCGCCTTAGCCATAATTTGGTGGTGTGTATTATCAAATCAAATCAAATCAATATTTATTTCCAACGTTTTTTTTGACAAGTTTGTGGTTTCTCAGGGGAAAAGCCATCAGAAACCACTTGAGGATGCCTAGGGCCCTCGTACATGCAGAAGTATCAGAATTGAAGCTTTTAACAAATGATAGTAAAATAAAAGCCAGAAAAATGAACAAAACAGTCAGAAAAATATCATACAAATGGAACAATAGAACAAAGAGGCACAGAGCAAACTAAATAACTATCTATGTGCACTCATGAACACATTGAACAACAAGCGTGATAGACAAGGTTTAATGATTTCATTCTTGGATGTTAGGAAAAACACAAAACCAAAAATACTAGGCAAACACTAAACATCATGACATGGTGCAGTGAAAATTAAAGAACAAAGACTGCCATTCTGTGGGCTAAAAAACACGTTTTCTTGCTCAGACAAAATGTGTTTTTTGCACAGAGAATGTGCTTTTTGTAGTAGCCATAGGAGTAGTAGCTGTGGCAACGGTAGAAGGGATGAGATGAGTCTTATGTGCACCTTTCAACAAAACTTTGTGGCATGTGAAATTACAAAGAAAGCTACATTTCCACTATCTGTAAAAGAATAATCACCAGTTGAATGTCACAACTTGTAGTAGTTCTTGAAACATGTACCTTCAGCTGCTAGATTAGAAGCCATGCAATAACAAAGCAGTGATTCACATTTTCAGTGGACTCTACGCCCCACTAACTTTTGCTGCCGTGTGTACACAGCCAGGAGCTGTTCCACTTGAAGATTTCATGCCATTCTTCTTCCTGCAGTAGTTTGGGATTTACTTAAAAAACACTGCAAAGCACACACTGGAAAATACTATTTTGATGTAGTACTAATATATTTAAGGTATAACAACTACTTGCAGTTTGCAACTGTAGTGATTTTTCGACAATAAATCAGGCATAAATCAAATAGTGCCAGAAGTGAACACCGGGTACTTTTTGAATAATTTCGTTATACTGAGCAGGTCATTGATAACCAATGAGCAGTCATTGATAAATATTGAGCAGTCAATAATATAAATAGATTTTAGCCATCTAATATTCATAATTTTAGTATTAAAAGCACTCATTGAGCTTGGGAACAAACAGCACTTCACATGCAAAAGCTGCCTGCACCATGTAACCTTCTCTCATAGCATAGATTATGGCAGCGCCCAACAAAATCAATGATAAAACGGACCAATTAAAAAAAAAAAAAAACTCGGACCATCTTCTAGAATGGAACCCTGATGGGAGGCAAAGCAGCAGCGTTGTGCTAGGGTGGCGTCGTGGCTTGAACGGCACTAACACGAATTTTGCGGCGAGTGCTGGAATATTCATTTGAAGCGATGGCTGGTGTAGGTCTCGGAGGTGACACGTACATACATGTTTGAAGGCGTACGTTAGGCGCGCGTCAGGTTTATTGCGCCTGAACAGACGAGTCGGCGGTGTAGCGAGTGGCGATTGCTGCAGGTGTGGTTTTATGGGCAAATGGATGAGGCAGCCACTGCGGGCACCGCGGTGAGCGTGTGGCAAGTGAGGGAGAGAGTGACCTAAATTTAGCCGCAAGGTGCGACAGCCATCAAGCCCCGTGCCCGAATACGTGGCTGAGAAATCGTGTTTTCGGTTTTATCGAAAGGGTTCATAGTTCCGGTTTAGTCATAGCTGTATGAATCTCTTCTTTCCTGTGTTCTGTGTTGAAGCGCTGTTTCATGTTTTTATCATCCAGCTGCAAATGTTTATTCTAAGGGCGCCATCGCTATATGCGCCGCACTTTCATTACAGGCATCAGCACGAACGGCTTGTGAACCCTTCTACATGCTGCACTTCCAAGGCGTAGAGATTGCGAAAATAGCATCTCTTCCTGGTGCGGCAGTATCCTCTTACACCGCTGCGTAGTTATGTGATAGCAGAATTGGCTAAAAGAGTTGGCTGCCAGTCTTAAAATTTGTTTGAATAGCATTCACTTATTCACCCTTTGGGCAAAGCTGTTATTTTTATAACTTAATGACAGCGTTTGGAAAAGGAAAAGAAAAAGATGACGTTAACAGTGCTAAAAAGAGGGGGGGGTGGCCTAGCAAAGACTGATGTACTGGACTGCTCAACGAGCGCATGCGCGTATTCTTGTTTATTCTGCCGCGGTTGGCGATCGCGTGTTCAGGTTAAATAATGGGCTGCTGTACATATATAAAACAGTCACAGTTGTATCACAAGGGTGAAGCAATGAATGTGATAGCAATTCACAAATTGTAATGTTATGCAAAGTGAGCCTGGCAGCTAACTCTCTTATATTAAATCTCATGTAACTCTACAAAACGCTGATGTATGAGAGTGATGTACGATAAGAGCATGGCGCGTAGCGAGCCTCCCGCTGATGGCTGCTGAGCTACCGTGCACACCTATGATTGCGATCACAATGCCCATAGAAGCTCAGTTCACAGTTGCTGCTCCAGAGGCTGCCCACTCCTCTGGCTCACTTCTTTTCACGCTTTTTCAAGACGGGTGACACGCTGGCTCCCGAGCCGGGGGATGTCACAGCATGCGCCCTTCAAGCGATGGAGATGGGCTGGCTCGTTTGTTCTTGGCTTCAGCCGCGTTCATCATCCTCGCTTGTGTGCTTTTACGTGCGAATAGATCATGTGATGCGCAGGGGTATTTTGTCAATTTGGACTTTATACAAGACATGACAGCAACGGCGAAAACCCGTCCAGAGTGACCATCTAATTTCTATCACAATAGTAAGGCTGTTGCACAATTTAGTTGAGTGTTTTAAAAACGTAGCATTGTATAAAAATGTTGCTTTACGGAGTGCTGTGTAATTGGGCTAAATCTGCTCCAAACGTTCCCACTGCTCTAAACTTGCTTTAAAAGGCCCTTCTGCCTGCTGCAGGCCTGCTCCAATACGTCTTTTTCGCTGCCCCAAGCCTGCTACAAAAAGCACTTTTGCCTGCTCCCAGGACTGCTTCCAAATTCATATACTCTGTTTTACCCTTGATGGAAGTGCTGATATTTATGTCTATGTCTTTGTGTCTGCGTTGTAGTCATTTTTGTTGCGTGCTGCCAAAAGCTAAGCTTTCGTGAACCAACTAGCCCATCCTTTAGGAACCACACCACTCATGTTTTATACTTATAATAGTGTATTTGCAGCAATAAGAAATGCCATTCTTGTGCACCAATTTACTCAGACCTCCTTATAACAAAGTTGCATCCTTCACGAAATAAAGTTCAGTATATCCCAAAATTTTTTATAAAGGTATATCATAAACCAATGCTTTTGACCACGAGTACGGCTTTCATTGTTCTCACGATAACACCAGAGGTAGCCTAAGAAAACAAAGGAAGAAACGTTTATCCCAAACCTCGGAAGCCAAGGCATCGTCAACCAACCCATCACACGAAATAACTTTTTTAAACGTGAATGCGCGCAGTATAATGAACAAATTAGATGCTTTAGAATCGTTGCTTATCTGCATCAAACCCGATTTCTTCGCTGTTATTGAAACTTGGCTAACAAGTGATATCCGAGACGCTGAACTAACACCCTCAAACTACGCAATAATATGCAAGGATAGACCAACACGAGGTGGTGGCATGGCCATCCTTATAAGCAATGGCACCCCTTTCACATTACTACCAGACGTAGATGGTGTGACAGGGTAGCCAGCCGGTCTGAGAACTGCCCAACCTCCCTGTCCTTCCTCTTTCAATCCTCCTTTTCCTCCGTAGATGGTGTAGAGGCAGTATTTTGTAAACTAAAATTCACTACTCACGTTATTATTCTCGTGTGTGTACCGCGCCCCTTCAACGAGCCTTGATTGTATGGATGTGCTGTGCACGTATATACGGCGTCATGCATGAAATTCCAGAGTCATCCTTGTAGGCGACTTTAATCTGCCTGACTTCGACTGGGAATCAATGCAGTACGACAGCGCCTGCTCGGAAATCATTTACAATGTAATGATTTCCTTAAACTTTTCGCAAAAAGTGACGCAGCCTACATGTGTACAGGGGCACAGCTCAAGTGCGCTAGGCTTAATTTTTGTCGCTGATAACTTCCCAATACATGAAGCAAAGATGAAAATACTAGATAGAATATCAGACCATGAAACAACTTATTGTAGAATACCGGTATGTGAGAGCATAACACCTGCTTACGCAGAGGAAACATTTCGAGACTTTAGTAAAGCTGATGACGTATTAATACATGACTCGCTGTTCGACAAAATCGCATCATTTCAGGAATTATCCTGACTCCACAGCGACAATAGAAGTGTTGGGGCACAAATTCAAGGGAATTGTTCTTTATTTCTTGCAAAATCACGTTTCATTATAAAAAAAAAAGAAGACTAGAAAGATTAATTCATAGATCGTGACGGTATACATGCCAAAAAAAAGGTAAATCGCTTGAGACAAAAATCTAAAAGAGAAACCGAACATTGACAGCCGACAAAGCCTGAGCGCAGGCATAAGTGACATGTAAAATGAAATAAAACCAACCAAATTTATTTATTGTGACAAAACCCTAGCTCAGTTCATAAAGTGTGCCCCAACCATATTTTGGCAATACATCAATCCCAAGGTCGATAAAACGACTCAAGAAACGCCCGAGGAAAATGTCCATTCCGCAAGCGCATTAAACAGCTATATTTCCAATCAATTTTTACAATTGATGACGGTAAATAGCCTTACGTTGAAATTAGCAATGAGAGACCTATTAAGCAATTATTCATTTCAGAAGCGGGAGTCTTTAACTTACTCTTGAACTTGGATTGAAAAAAAAAAAAATCTTCCGGACTGGACAATAGACCCTTTTCGAAAAAGGGTGCCCCTAGCGTCGCGGACGCGAACTACAGTCTGCCGCCATTGTAAGGGCACCGCAGCAGACGACCCAGGCTGTGTGCCCCAGTGACACCGATGTGTTTTTTGCAGCGCACACAGACACTTCTTGCATTCCTGCAGGACGCGGACCGTTGAAGGGTACAAAATATTGCTCATTGTGTAGCGGAATCAGCCCTGAAAGCTTATTGGAGTGTACTAGGAGTTCGTTCAAGCTAGAAAGCGATGCAATTTCAGCGGATGATACGGTGATCTAGCCGCCAACACAAACATCACAACACTCACGCATATGACGGCTCTTTTTATGCCCTCATGATGGCGCTGGCTATGCCACGCTCCTTTGCGAAGCGAAACTGTTGAAAAGCTCACCCTCAGGTGGCATATTTATACAAAGGGTTTATACACGTATACCAAATACACTCCTAAAAAGATATGCCGAGTGGATATCAAACTACCTATGTTTGCTTTTTAACCGATCACTGTTGCTGCGTACCGTACCAAAGGATTGGAAAAAAGCCAAAGTGATTCCTGTAAATAAATTTAAAAATAAAAACAGACCTCCTAATTGCCGACCAATCTCATTAACATGCGCGGTTGGTAAACTGCTCAAACACATTATTGTAAAGCACATAACGAAACACCTTGAACACAAAATACTACTATCTCCTTTTCAACACGGCTTCTGCCAGGGCATATCCACAGTAACACAACTCATTGAAATGGTCCATCACGTCTCAATAAGCATCGATCATCAAAAACAAATAGATCTTATTCTACTGGATTTCTCAAAAACATTCGATTGGGTGCCACATAGCAAACTTATTTCCAAGCTACAACTTACTCTTGGCAAGGTTCAAATTCTTGGCTGAATCACTGATTTTCTTACAGACATGTCGCAGTTACTAGAAATTAACCACGTCCAGTCTTTAGGCGTGCTGGTAACTTCTGGCGTACTGCAAGGTAGCGTTTTGGCGCTGGTATTATTCTTACTTTTTGTTAATGATCTGCCTTCATCTGTCAATGTTGGATGCAGGTTATTTGCACATGACTGCATCCTGTACAAAGAAATAAACTCTTTAAGATGACCATATTGCTTTAAATACAGCCTTAGAAGCAGTTTCAGCTTGGTGCAATGATTGGCAAATGCACATGAACGAAAAAAAGCCCACGCTCTTATCCATAACTAAAAAAATGAATCATCCTATTTTAATTATGCCATTAATTCAGTCTCTCTTTCTAAAGTTGCTAATCATAAATATCTAGGTGTCATTTTGTCACATGACCTACGATGGGATGCTCATATTCATTACATTACATCATCCGCTCGGAAAAGATTTTTATTTATAAAAAGGCAATTACAGCAAGCACCGCCAGACACAAAATTACTGGCCTACAATACACTTATCCACCACATCTTGGAGTACGCAAACACTGCCTGGTTCCCCTGCACAAAAAACTTACCAGCAAGCTCAAACGTGTCCAACGAAAAGCACTTAGGGCCATATTCGACAAATTTAACTGGACAGATTTGCCTACAGAATTGCTCAAGAAGCCTGGAATACTAACCATGAAGAACTCAGTGAAATTGGCATGTTTAAAGCTAATGTATCAACTATTACACAGTCATCTAAACATAGTCAAGTCTTGCTACATAAGGCTATCTGCAGCGAGAACTACCCGCCGTAATCTCTCTAATACCCTCGCCCCGTATATGTTTCACATCGATGCTTTCAAGTTCTCGTTTCTCCCACTTGCGATATGAGAATGGAATAACTTGTCTCTCTCCATCACGAGTAGCACATCCTTAGCAACTTGCTCAAAACTAGTAGAAAGCGACTTGTTAGCCTCGTTAATTTAATACGGTGTTACGATTGTTCTTTTCATACCCAAGCAGTGCCAATGTGTTTGTAGTTTTCAAAAATGTGCTCGTATTGCATTTTTTCTTCTTTTCGACTGCACGAAATAACTGTCTTAGATTGTTCACCTCTTATATTCCCTCTGGGATTGATAGTATACATAAATAAATAAAATAAATAAATATTCTCAACACTGTGTTTATTGTAATACCATTTTTAAATTACTTCGTTATAGCTGAAATTTCGTGATATCCGGGTTCATTATATGGAGGTTTCAGTGTAGTAGATTTCAGTGCATTTTATATTTGGAAAATTATTCGTAAACTATTTGAAAAGTATTCATGCTTAGTAATGATGGCCATTTGATTCAACATTTGCAATTCACGAGTAATGACAGAGAGCTATTTTATCTAACATGCATTAGGTGTTTCAGTTTATGCTAGAATTTGCTTGATCATGAACTGTGGCTGCTCACCAGGTACTGTGCTGGTGACCAAATGCCCCTGCCTGCACCCCGGTGATGTGCGCAAGTTTGAGGCAGTTGACGTGCCTGCTTTGCACCACATCAGAGACTGCATTGTGTTTCCAGCCAAAGGTCCCCGGCCTCACCCCAATGAGATGGCTGGTATGTCCTGACAGCACCTGCATGTGATTGAAAGTGGGATCACTCTATGTGCGTAAAGCATGCAGTCAAGTAATATTTAATATAATTGCATTTATTGACATAGAATAATTTACAAAAATGCAGTTGTTAGAGAAATAGTTTGAGACTTCAAAAGTACGTCTCACTACTTCAATACTGTAATATTTATACTGTACATAGTCGTTGTACTGTATAACCATGGCCGCTCGATCTCCCATTTTGTACGGCCAGCAAAATTCTCCTCCCTGCCTGTGAGCGTGCTAGTTGCCTTCCAACCCACTGCATCGGCTATAGTGCTAGCTATCGCCAACACAAGTGTTTTTTTTTTTAAAGCTCCCTTCAGCTACAGTGAGCTATCTGCGTCGGTAATTTCTTGTGTTTCTGATCAGTGCTTTGTCACGCTCTCTGAATAGGCTGCATCACTTCAGCTGGATTAGTGGCCGATGACTGAGTGAGACATATTAATGCAAGGAATATGACGAACACAGGAAAGAAGACTGTCCCGGGCATGGCGGCTGTTATGGCCGCGATAGCCCATGTGCTAAGCGATGTCACTTCAGATTCAATAAATACAGATGGTTGAAACTATCCAAAACACCCTACTTCGGAATGACTCATAATCATATTGCGGTTTCGGCACCTAACACCCCAATATTGTTATTATTACTATTAAGAACGGTTCGCCTTGGTGGAACAGTGGTTAGGGGGCTCAGCTGCTGGTCATGGGTTTGATCCCGGCCACTGCGGTCGCATTTCGATAGAGACGGAATGGTAGAGGCTCGTGTACTACGCAATGTCAGTGCATGTTAAAAAACACCAAATGGTCCAAATTTCTTGAGCTCTCCACTACGGCGCCCCTCAAATTCACATCAAAACTCCACATGTTATTATTATAATACTAAAAACGAAGATTCGTATGGTATCTATATCATTAATTCGCTGCAATTTAGGCTTTGTTATGTACTAATTCAAGCCCAGTGAGAAATTTGTCACTGATTACTAACAATAGTGGGCTACATATGATGATTTTTAGATATTTTGGGGACATTGGACACGCTAACAAAAAAAATTGTTGGAGCAGGTCCAATGATATTGTCAATCGCAAGAAATTGCATTTTATTCAGTTTCTCTAAAACAAAAAGAAAAAAAAATCACAGCATGTCCATGGAGTGAATGGTGATGAGTGGAGCAAAGCGTCCGTCTTTCTTCCGTCCTTCTGCAGGACCATCCGTGTGTCCGTCTGTCTGTCCGTGCGTACGTCCGTCTGCACATACATTCTTCCGTCTGTTTGTCCGTTCGTGTATCCATCTGTTCGTCCGTATGCTCGTCTGTCTGTGCGTACGTCTGTGCATCCATCTAGTGAACACTCCAAGTACCACCGTCTCGCATCCCCTGTGGAACATACCTGTTCTTGAGTGGGTATGTGCCAAGCGTGTCACGCTGATGGAAAGGGGAGATGGCTTGACCCTAAGAAGCTTCCCCCTAAAACTTCACATTTGTATGAGATGTGTGCCATTAGATAGGTGTTCTGCATCAATTGAAGCAATGTATAATGTGCTTGCGGTAATATGTCAAAGCCAGTTATGCACTACTAACTAGCCCAGCAGTTAATTTTATGGAAGTAGATGGTTCTCTATAAATGTGCTCCGTTAGATGTACGTGGCGAGTTTGGCTGTCCGATTGCAATTAAAGAAGCACAAAATCCTCGTCTTGATCTCGCTCATACGGCAACTCAACATTGCATCAATAATGTTATTGGGAATAATTAAAACGTAATGGCTCCAAATTCAGTGTCAGCTAAATAGCCAAGGTTTATGTGTATTATATTTATAAGGTGTACTTGGTGTACAGTATTTGCGCGTCGTGACATACTTTCGTGACATACATATTTTCGCAACACCCCGCAGGGGCGCCTGCGCAAGTAGGCGTTTGGTGTGTAGCGACACCACGGACCCGAGCTAACGGGGGAGTTTTGACTCCCTCCCATGCCTAGCCATGCCTAGCCAGCAATGGGACACCTGCGCGAACAATAAGCTCCACCTGGCGAAACCCACACTCGGGGAATGGAAGACCTGCCGTCACCAGCAACGGTTTATTGAAGTTGTATTATGCCGACTTTGCATTGGACACACACACTTGACACACAACTTCTTACTCACGAAGGAAGAACAAACAACGTGTGAAAAATGCCAAAAAGCGTTGACACTTATGCACATCCTAATCACATGTCCTACCATTGAAACACAAAGACAAAAACATTTCGGCAAGCTATACAAACAACACGTACCTTTACATCCTGCTTAGTTCCTAGAAGATGACCCTCTAGTACCTCTGCCTGACTTGCTAAACTTTCTTTAAGAATGTAATCTGTTAAATAAGCTTTAAAATCTCATCATTTCAGTGTCCATTCCTGAAAGTCTTGTGTCTGGCGCAGCATAGCCTTAGCTGCTTTTGCGCCATAAAAACGAAATTAACCTAACCCTATTTTCGCAACATGTATTGGGGTATGATGCGAATCAAACAATGATCAGTATTGATTCTTTTTATGAAGTATACTGAACGCATTTGTGTGTAGTGACAAATTTATTTCTATGACATATGTAGGTATAATGTGAATCGGACAGGTATCAGTACTGATTCTTCCTAAACAATCTCGTATAACCATAATTTATTATTGAAATGTTGCAAGATGTCACAAAATGAAGGCTTTGTAGAAAGGTGGTTTCCAAAAATGTCATAGTATGTTTTCTAGTCAGCTGCTAAGAGCTCCATCAAGTTGGGCAGGAATAGACCTGGTAGTGTCGTGATAACAACAGTCTGGAAAAACAAATGGCATCGCATGATGACCTAATGACGGCAGGATACGACGTTCACAAAATAGGGCGGGTGGGTGAGATTACACCTCCACGGCACGCAGTAAAAGCAGGTGCAAGTGCGATTACCTCGCCGATTCGCTGCGCCTTCACCTCCCGTTGTGGCCGACCAGTCAACTTTTACTTTCTCGCGCGCTCTTTTGTTCGAGAAATGACTTGCAGGCCGCACCAAAAGAGGGAGATCAAGCAGCCATGATATAACTCCCGTTTAGAAAACTTAGTTTCCTGGTCCCTTCAGGTTTCGTTTAATAAGAGTCTACAGTGTTAAGGCTAAAATTGCTTGCTGTTTTATGCTTTGTTAGCATTTAACTATTATACCGGTGTCACACGGGTACTTTTAATCGCGATCAGGACAATCTGGATTGGTTTTCTTGATCGCGATCAACATTATGACCGCTGCTACATGACCCAAGCTAATCTTGTTCGAGCTTGGGTCAGATGAAATGACCCGGGTGGCATTTGCGTGCTGTAAAACATGCCACTGACAAAACTCGTCGTGCGGTATATCTATAGAGCCCTTTATCATCATTGTTATTCGTGCAAGAATCGCTCGAACGTCAAAAACTTACAACTTTGCGGGCCACTACAATAGTAATTTCATAAATTCATCGTTCGATGAAATTCTCCTACCACTTACCTGTATCGCTGTGTGAGATTCTTAACCTTCGTTTTTATTTGTGATGACCCCCGTTCATAACCGTGTAGTCGCAGCGAAGCGTCAATCTTGTTGTACGTGCCAGTGTTTCACTTCTGGCGCCTCAAGTCTGTTCCTGTCGTTCTTGCCAGCGGTCAATTACTGTAAAGGTCTCTTCATTCGACCATGGAGTGCGCGTATGTTGCGACATAGTCGAAAGGCTTGCGACAATTATAATCAGTTTGCTTCGAGGTGATCAGATAGCTCTGACGGTGCGAGAGTTCAACTACGCGCTGAAGGCAACGGTCGATTTCTTGTCATCTGCTTCTCCCGTAACTACAGGCGGTCGATGCGAATCCTAAAATATGCTATACTTCAGATATTGTTCCAATCTGAGCAGTTTAGAATTTGCTTTTTTATAAACATTTAGCTGTTTTAAAAAGGTTTTATTGAACTATGCCCGATTTTCTTGTTTATTGTGCTTTCAACGAGCTCGGCTAGGGAAGGAGACGACAGCAAAATCGTGATCTCTCAGGCAGATCGTGATCCAGGGATCGCGATAATCTTGATCTCGATCACGCCTAATCGTGATTAAAAGTGACAGTGTAGCAGCGCCTAATCTGGATCGTGGTTAATCCGGATTGACACTGATCGCGATTAAAAGTGTCCGTGTGACACCGGTATTAGTAAATTGTTTTATTGTATAGAGATTTCTAGACTCTTAAAGGGTATGTGATACCTTTCCTGAAAATTTTCAACTACACGTGTATTTTGAACTCTACTCATCTATTTGTTACTGTACCTCGACTCGTTTCATTGTCCAGGTTTATTCAATAGCTATACAAGCACAATTTCGATTCCCCAGAATGTGTTCTCCGCAACTCTATAGCTCATGTCACCTTATTCAGCCAATCATAAGCCTCTGCTGCCAACAAAACATGGCTATGCAGTGAGGACTGTTGAGCCATAGTTGACTGAAGTTCGAAGAGTCATACCGTTTAGATTGCAGGGCTATTAAAACGTCACATGCACAAATCGTGCCGACTATCCGACGCTAATGCACATGTAGATGGTTAGATTGCTGTACATAATTACAAAACAGCCTTCACTATATGTGCCCACATGTATCGCATGAGATGAAAAAGCTCAGACGAGCACGCCATCTGTTAGAAACTGCTAGAAACTGGTTCAAGAGCCATTCAGATACCTGTCATTTTTTCACTGGGGTTAGCACACAGTTGGCTTTTGGACTTCGAGCGGTACCTCGAGATGAAAAGTTGCTGTGAAATTTTATTACTTTCTTGCTTTCATGTGAATTTATTATTATAGAGCGAGCGAAGGCTAACGGTATGTTTACGATTTTGAATGTCTTAGGATCACGTCACCTCGCCAGTGCCTATGACTGCCAACAGTGATGCATTGTGGTTTTAGGATCGTAAGGATTGTAGGATTTCAAGTGGGTGTTATTAAATGTTGGTCGAATATAGCACTGAAATACATAGGAATCGGCATGCGCTATGTTCATTGAAGCAGTAAAAATTACAACCAGGCAGCTTTATCGCCTTTTCTTGATCTCTTCAGACCTGTCAAATCGAGATTTGACTGTGCTTGTGAGCATCTGTGGCATTTCACTTGGCACCTGCAAATTTTTTGTTCCTCCCTACACGTGTGTGCAGGTTCAGACCTTGATGGAGACGAGTACATTGTGATCTGGGAACCAGACCTCTTCTTTCCAGGATCCAATAGGGAGCCTATGGTGTTCAGTGACACTTCTGTTGGAGCTCCCTCTACTGGAAACCTGGCCAGTGCTCTCTCATTATACTTCCTTATGCTTGCACATCCACGTGTTGCCAATAGGGTGATGGGGCCCAGTCACAGTAGCATTTCGCAGGGTGACTAACTTCCCATTAGGTTACCTGCTGGGAACCATGTTTTAACAGGCAACATGTATTGTCCCTGCGTTTCAGTGCTTATGAAATTGTTGTTCTCTGTATTTGGGGATAAAAGCTCCCACGAGGTTAATAACAAACTTGGTTTATTGACAATATTAGGTTGCCGGTAGCGGATTTGGTGTAGCCTGGTAGTGCAACATGGAACTGGTGCAGATTTATGATTGGTACTCGGAATCAAAAGGAATCGATTGATAAGTAGGGTTTAACATCCCAAAACCATCATATGATTATGAGAGACGCCGTAGTGGAGGGCTCCGGAAATTTTGACCACCTGGAGTTCTTTAACGTGCACCCGAATCTGAGCACATGGAGCTACAACATTTCCGCCTCCATCAGAAATGCAGCCGCCGCAGCTGGGATTCGATCCCGCAACCTGTAGGTCAGCAGCTCCTTAGCCACTAGACCACCGCGGCGGGGCTTGATCAAAGGGAAGTGCTTGAGACTATCTGTTTTGAGGGGTGAAAATTTAATTAAGTGCAGATGCTGAAAGGGTGGTGCTTTCTAGCGTTCCAGTCATTTTGATGAGAACTGCTAGTTCGCTTCAAGTCTCATCTACTTGTGGCAAAAGACACAGAGCCCTGTCAAGGAGCTTAGAGATAGCGGCTTTGTATGTCCACAGCCTGATACCAGCTTTCACTGCTTCATATGTCATTTGCATTCTTTTGCATGCGTGTCCAGTAGTGTTGGTCTTCTAGTTTGTCACTTGTGATGCACAGCACCCAAAAGAACCTTTTCATGTCTTGCTCTTTACTTATGGTCTAACCGGTATCTTTTGTGTTCGGAACTGTGCAGGACGATGACATAATTGGCTTCCTGTGCAAGTACATCCTTAATGACAGCGTAGGCGTCATGTCCAATGCACACCTGGCCTGGGCTGACAGCTGTGGCATTTTCTCTGAAACCTGTCTCAATCTTGCCAAGAAAATATCTACCTGCCTCGACTTTGCAAAGACTGGCATCAATGCTGAACTTCATTCGTCTGAACGGGTTCTGAAGTACCCTGATTTCATGAATAAGAGGGGAATCAAACCAGTGTACCGGTCTACAAGAGTACTTGGAGAGCTCTACCGCCTGAACAAAACACTGATCGGCAACACTCATCATGCATTTACTGCGGCTGATTTTCATGCTGCCCTGTTTGATTGCCCAGGATGGCAAAAGCACCAGTGTGCTGCAGAGAACGCTCGTGATATCTACGAAGACATGATGAAGAGGATCATGAATCAGTATGGCATTGAGAGTGAAGCTGAAGTGGTAGCAGGTGTCATCAACAGTGTTTCACGTTACAACAAAAGCAAACAGGACAGAACCAGTGTGGAAACCTTGGTTTCTAAACAATATCAGGAGCTCATTGAAGTAATGCAGAAGCAGTTTGCTGTAGATGTTGAAGCAGCCTCTCAGCGAGGTTATGGCCAGCCAACACAACAAACATTGCTGGAGATGGCATCAGCCTGGTACATGGTAATTTGCAGCAATGAGCAGTTTAAAGATCATCTCTTGGGACTTCCGTGGTGCATTGCAGACAGCCTGCTTCTAATTTTGAAGGAACGAAGTTGTGCACAGTCAACGGGCAAGACAGTGTCACGGAATTTGTTGTCTGCAAGGATAAATCGGCAGAGCATTGGTCGTTTGCCACGAGATGCAGCGTTTGATCTGCTGTGTGAGTGGGCACGAAAGGAAGATCTGTTGTGCGATACTGCTACCAAGGCTTCCCAAGTTTGCATGTCATGCTTCAAGCAGGCTTTCCAGCAATATATGTCTCGTATCCATAGTTCAACAGGAGCCGCAGCACTGAGCTTTGTCAAGTCCCAAGGAGGAGACGCAGACAGCTGTGAGCACACCACCGCTGACTATGTTACCGGTTTTATTCGCTACCTCACCATATCACTGACAGGCCTTCCAGTTTGCAGCGAATGCTGCTCGCCATCTGGTCAAGTGCACAAGCTGACATTGGCAGCCTTGTACCGTTACTCTAGGCTGGTCATGTCAAGGGATGTCTGCTGCTTTGGTCTTCCTTGTGACCCTGACCTTCACGACAGTGCAGACGACGTGCTAGAGTCTGATCCCATACGTATAAATGTGAGTGGCACTGCTTTCAGTACATTGTGGTGCAGCCTAGTTAAACCGGTGAAGTTTTAATATCCTATAATTGATAATCATTCATGTCTAATGGTTAAAAAAAAAGCTATGTGTAGCAAACTTGTGCGGCCTAACCTTATTATAACAAAGTTGATTTAAAATGAAAATAACTTCGTTAGACTTAATTATTCTTCATAAATATATATTAACACTTTCACTGGCAATACTATTCCTCATTTATTTGTTATAACTTATAATTCATTATATCTATATTAACTATAACAAAGTTTCACTGCAGTTACAGCAATGATAACCTTCCACCGCCGCTTTGCAAAATGTGTCAATACCGAACTCATCAATAGCGGAATAGACCTAGCTCTTCTCCAGGGTGGCATGATATGCATGCTGCAGCTGCTTAATGTGCATGTGCTCCTGTCGTAAAATGCTTGTGTACTGAAGCTACTACTGCAAGCAGATGGCATATGATAAGCATGAAAATATCTGACCGGTCAACTGAAGCAGCAGCCATATTAGTAACTCTACTTAAGAGTTAAAAAAATACATGGCAATGGCGCAGTACTACATTAGAGGGACAATAGTCCAACGGGAATAGTCTAATTCACAGAAACATAGCTGGCAACATAGAGGAATACTATAGCAATAATGAAAGAGTGGTAGGTATCGTAATAAACTGAATAAAAAATACAAGATGAAGGTGGTACAGGCTTACGCGCCTACATCGAGCCATGATGACGTTTCAGTTGAAAGCTTCTATGAAGACGTGGAATCGGCAATGAGTAAGGTAAAACCACAGTATACTATACTGATGGGAGACTTTAGTGCAAAGGTAGGGAAGATGCAGGCTGGAGACTAGGCAGTAGCAGATTATGGCATCGGTACTAGAAACGCCAGAGGAAAGCTACTAGTAGAATTCGCAGAACGCAATAATTTACGGATTTGGAATACCTTCTACCGAAAACGAGGAAACCGCAAGTAGACATGGAGGAGCCCTAATGGCGAAAATAAGAACAAAATAGAATTGCATCGTACAGGATGTTGAAGTGGTTGGCAAGGTACGATACAGTGACCACAGAATGGTACGGTCTCGAATTCGCCTAGACTTGAAGAAGGAACGAGAGAAACTGATACGCAAGAAGCTAATCAATGAGCTAGCACTGAGAGGCAAAGTACAGGAATTCAGAGTATCGCTTCAGAACAGGTACTTGGCTCTTAGTGAGGAAACCAACCTTAGCGTAGATACAATGAATAATAATCTGACGAGTATCATTACGGAGTGTGCAGTGGAAGTTGGAGGCAGGGTAGTTGGACAGGACACTGTCAAGCTTTCCCAGGAAACGAAGAATCTCATTAATAAGCGTCAAATCATGAAAGTCTCAAGTACAACAGACAAAGTAGAACTGGCAGAGCTTTCAAAATCGATTAATAGGCATAGGTATGCAATGTAAGAAGGTATAACATGGAGAATTGAACACGCTCTGAAGAACGGAGGAAGCGTCAAAGCAGGGAAGAGAAAATTTGAGATAGGCAAAAATCGGATGTATGCACTAATGGACAAAGAAGACAAAATAACTACCAATATAGATAGGATAGTTAAAATAGCGGAGGAGTTGTACAGTGATCCGTACAGTAGCCGGGACAACCACGACTTTAATACTATAAGAACTAGCAGTAACCCAGATGACACCCCACCAGTAATGATAGAAGAAGTCGGAAAAGCTTTGGAGAGGAAGCAAAGAAACAAAGCTGCTGGTGAGGATCAGGTAACATCTGATCTGCTGGAAGATGGAGGACAGATTGTTAGAAAAACTAGCCACCCTGTTTACGAGGTGTCTCCTGACGGGAAGAGTACCAGAGTCTTGGAAGAACGCTAAGATCATCTTAACACATAAGAAAGTAGATGATAAGGACTTGAAGAATTACAGGCCGATCAGCTTGCTCTCTGTAGTATACAAGCTATTTACAAAGGTAATTGCTAACAGAGTAAAGAAAACATTATAATTCAATCAACCAAAGGAACAGGCAGGATTTCGAACATGCTACTCAACAATCGACCACATTCAATCAGGTAATAGAGAAATGCTCAGAATATAACCAACCACTGTACATAGCCTTCATAGCTTACGAGAAGGCATTTCATTCAGTAGAAATATCAGCCGTCATGCAGACACTGCGGAATCAGGGCGTCGATGAAGTATGTATAAACATCCTGGAAGAAATCTACGGAGGATCAACTGTTACCATAGTGCTTCATAAAGGAAGCAACAGAATACCAATCAAGAAAGGTGTAAGGCAGGGGGACACAATCTCCCCAATGCTATTTACCACGTGCTTACAAGAGGTTTTCAGAAGCCTAGAATGGGAACAGCTAGGGATAAGAGTTAATGGAGAGTACCTTAGTAACCTGCGCTTTGCCGATGATATTGCATTGCTGAGTAACTCAGGGGACTAATTGCAACTCATGATTCTGTAGTTAGACAAGGAGAGCAGAAAGGTGCGTCTTAAAATTAATTTGCAGAAAACGAAAGTGATGTACAACAACTTTGGAAAAGAGCAGCGCTTCGAGATAGGTAATAGTGCACTTCAAGTTGTAAAAGACTATGTCTACTTAGGGCAGGTAATAAACGCGGAGCCAAACCATGAGATTGAAGTAACTAAAAGAATAAGAATGGGGTGGAGCATATTTGGCAAGCACTCTCAAATTAGGACAGGTAGATTGCCACTATCCTTCAAGAGGAAGGTATATAACAGCAGTATCTTGCCGGTACTTAGCTATGGAGCAGAAACCTCGAGACTTACAAAGAGGGTTCAGCTTAAATTGAGGACGACGCAGTGAGCAATGGAAAGAAAAATGATAGGTGTAACATTAAGAGACAAGAAGAGAGCAGAGTGGATTAGGGAACAAACGAGGGTTAAGGATATCATAGCTGAAATCAAGAAGAGGAATTGGACATGGGCCACGCATGTAGCGCGCAGACAGGATAACCGCTGGTCATTAAGGGTGACTAACTGGATTCCCAGAGAAGGTAAGCGGGTTAGGGGGAGACAGAAGGTTTGGTGGGCAGATGAGATTAAAAAGTTTGCTGGTATAAATTGGCAGCAGCAAGCACAGGACCGGGTTAACTGGCGGAACATGGGAGAGGCCTTTGTCCTGCAGTGGACGTACTCAGGCTGATGATGATGATGATGAGTCCAACGGGCCCGCGAAGTGGTTAAAAGACTAGGTCTTCCGGTCCCAACGTGGGAGCGGCTCGTTTCGGGCTAAGACACTAGCACCACCTATTGGACCTTAATAAAGTTTTTTCATCCATTGGTATCATTGGATGTCATCACTCAAAAGTATACACTGACGCGTCAGTGCAGAACTTGCAACCTTCGAATGACACGTCATTGGAAGGTTGCAGGTTCGGATCCTGCCCACGGCAAGTTATCTTTTCACCCACCTTTCTTATTTGTTATATTACAATTCGGTCTAATAACTTCCCCTATATATTCCTTGGCATTATTGTGTGTTAGATCTCTCTCTCTCTCTCTCTATATATATATATATATATATATATATATATATATATATATATATATATATAAATATGAAAGTAGATGCGCTTTCACATAACAACTGTTTATTGTGCTGACGTTTCGACAGGAACCCTGTCTTTTTCAAGGCATAATACTATTTACACATGTTCCGTGCCTTTTTATATCCTGTCGAGACAGGAGGGGAGGGGTCAAATGAGAAAGAGAGAAAAAAAAAAGAAAAAGAAGGAAGAAACAGCGAAACGGGAGGACAAACAATAAATAAAATATAGAAAATCTAGGAGAAGAAGCAAGACCGACATGGCGTAATTAGAAAGGGGCAGCATTTCAACAGAGTAGGGCAGAGGTAGATGAGGAGTGTCATCATTGTCAACAATACCTCCCCCGCACCCACACTTCCCCAAGTGGGCAGGGAGCCGCCGTTTTTGTATTTCACCTTTCCGTGTAGTCCGCTGGCGGCTCGTTCCTCTTTGAAGTGTATGACAAGTTAATGGGGAGGGCTTAAGCGCTTTAAGTGCATGCTGGTGGCATCGGGAGTAGCGAAAAAACCAGTGAATGAGGCACTGCCATCGATATTCATTATATGCATTGGTTCCTTGTCAGTGAAGGAACAGAATGTGCGTTAAAGGATTAACGAAGGAAAAAAAAAGAAGAAGAAGAACAGGGGGGGGGGGGGGGGGAAGAGACTGTACCACTCCGGGACAGTCACCACACAGTTGAGGCGCACTGGGAAGATATGCGTGCATGTAGGAAAAAGTTAACGAAACCACCTAGCTGTCAGCTCCTTGTCAGTGAAGGAACAGAATGTGCGTTGAAGCTTGACGAAGAAAAAAAGGAAAAAAGCAAAAAAAGAGAGGGGGGGGGGGACCGTACGACCTCCGGGACCACTTATCTGTGCGTTCCGGCTGTGCTTGATGAGGCAAATCGTTTCTATGTTGTCAGATGCATAGGCCAAAAGCTTCGTTAGCGGGTAATATTATTGTCGTAATGAAACCGGACTGATTAGAGAGAAGCGTTTGCGTCTTTTAGTGGTCGTAACGCAGACAGAGTGCCTGGGTGTTCATTTATTCCGTATTTTATCGTGTTAAATTTGTAGATAAAATAAGATTCCCGTTGTTCCCGTTCTCTGATTGTTCGAAAGTTGTTTTTATATATATATATATATATATATATATATATATATATTGTAATCAGCGAGAGAGACACAAGACCCGTTCGTGGGGCAAGCTGTTCTATTCTGCCTCTTCTTCCTCGCTGTCCAGCCCATGGCCCACAGGTGCCGCGCCGCTCTTCGTTACATTCGGCCACACTGCGGACCTGACAAAGAAAAACAAAAGAAATTACAGTTCATTGCACCTGCAGCGGTCCGACTGCTTCTTTCAAGCGCGACACATGCACGGCGAAGTTGTTTCTTTTGCGTTTATCGAGAGTGAAGTTCGCATCTG